TGCGCTAGTGGGTTTTCAGTACTTCATGGAAGTTCTGTAAGAACTGGGTAAGCAACAGGGCTTATAAAGAACTGGTTCCTCCCACTTGCCATGTCATCGTGCATGGAATAGGCCATGTTGTTTAGCAGTGAGGAATCCAGACCTGTTTCAATATTCTTCAAGACAGGTCACTTGGACTCTCTCTCTGTCAGCATTCCCTGTCAGTGAGAACCCAAAGGATGTTTTGAGACCATCAGATACTTTTCATTCTGCTTGCTGTCCCAAGCTGGTTTTCCAGCCACTTCCTGTGTTCCCTTCTCAAGCCAGGTGGGAGGATTTCCTAGAGGCCTGTGCTACCTTTAGCTCCAGTGATTTGCAGGTTACCTTCTCACCCCTTAGAACAAATTAAAGAGATGGCACAATCCCCAAAGGTGAATTCCTAGGAGAGAACCCCTCTTTCTCCCACTTTCCTCAGTATGAAAGAATCATCTTACTAACACGTATAATTAAATCAGGTGTAGAAGGTTTGCTTTCATAACTACTGAGGATAATTTGTTATTGGAAAAAAAAATAGAATAAAATTGTATTGGAGTGATAGAGAATATAGAATATTGTATATCCACTCTCCTGTTTCAAAAGCCTAATTTTTGGACTTGATTCATTAAAAAACAAAATAAAACAATTGACATGTTAGTGGTTGAAAATTTTGTCTTTTTTAAAACTAATTGTCAGGGCCAGCCCCGTGGTGCACTCGGGAGAGTGCAGCGCTGGGAGCACAACAACGCTCCCGCCATCGGTTCAGATCCTATATAGGAATGGCCGGTGCACTCACTGGCTGAGCGCGGTGCGGGCGACACCAAGCCAAGGATTGCGATTCCCTTACCGGTCACGAAAAAGACAAAAAAAAAAAAAAACTAATTGTCATGCATGTACTTTGTGAAAAACTTTAAGTTTTCAATTTTTTAACATAGCAGCACAATCATATTTGTGCATGGTGTTTTCTGAATGAATTTGATGTTTCAGTGTTTTCTTAATAAGGCATTAATTCATCCTTTCACTGATTAGTTCAGTAAACCTTTATGTATGTCCTGCTTTATTTTTGGCACTAGGATATATTTGAAATTTATCTGACTCACTAAAAAGTGGAAGTTAATCTGTAAGCTGAGAGTTAAATTTAGTGTTTAAATATTTTTTAAAAAGGTCTCCCTTCACTTCAAAGTAGATTAAATAATAGAATAAAATGCAGAGAATTTTTTACTGTCCTGTTACCTGTCTTAGCATATCTGTTAAGTCAAGGATGTTGTCTTAGTAGAATGCCAGCATATGAGACTTGAATTTTTACAAATTTATAATAAATTCATAATAAAATTTCATTATATGTCAGTAGTAATATAATTTTATGCAAAAAGCATCTTAAGACTGTAATGTAAAAACGATATCTCCAGGAGCTATTTAATTCTTTTTGTCATTCCTTTGATATAATTCATTTCTATGTTAACTAATATGAAAAGAATGTCTCTGAAGTTTCTCATGCCCTCCCAATCTTTATTTTTTGTTCTCTGAATTAATAAGGTTTACACTCTTTGTTTTTCCATATCCATTAATTATTTAATTCAACAAATTTTTACTGAATACCCTGCACATGATAATTTGATGTGCTGTTTCATATGAAAATGTGGTTTTCAATAAAACATTCCTTTGAAAATTATTTTCCCATGAGATCTTATTTGGATTCTTGCTAGCTAAATAAAAAACCAAAGTGAGTAAATAAAGGAATAAAATATTAGATTTTAATAAATGCAACACATGCAAAAATAAATAGGAATCTATTGTAAAAAGTGTTTGATGGTGAGGCACATTCTCTCTGAGGAATGGTATTTCAGCTGAATTTTGAAAGATAAGATTGTGTTGTCTGTGATAGCTGGGGAAGAATGTTTCAGGCAGGAGAATCATCAAATTTTTCATTTTGGGGTATGAATGATCCAGGTGCATTTGTGGGATAGAAAGGAGGCCAGTGTGGCTAAAGCAAAGGGATCATATAGGACATTATAGACCTTGTTAGGAAGTTTAAATTTATACTTACATAAGTTAAGATAACATTGAAGATTTTTAGAAAGCTGAGGAGTGACTCAATATAAGTTAAACTTAAAAGGTGAGTTTGGGGCCGGCCCGGTGGCGCACTGCTACAGTGCGCCGCTTGGGAGCGCGGCGGCGCTCCCGCCGAGGGTTCGGATCCCACATACAGACCGGCCGCTCACTGGCTGAGCGAGGTGTGGGCGCAAC